GTTAAAAAAATAATGGGTTTGGTCTTTTCACTAAACAAAGAGTCACTCGGGAACAACCCTTGATTAAACGGTACCGGCAAGACAGTCCAAACTTGGTTCGTAGGGAGACATTCAAATAAACGATAATTACCACAATGACGATCAGCTAGTTTGCTACAAACCGCAATACAACCCGCAATGGCCTGCCATATGAAATGCGTAACCTTTTTCGGGCACGTGTTTTTCCAGACTTGGTGCTTTAGGGTTGTCACGCAAGGCTAATTAACTTCTGCTTCCTCGCGTTCACCTTGAGTGGCCAAGAGATAGCCAAATTTCACCGTGTATTTTGCCGGATTTTGAATAGCTTCATACATAACAATCTAACTGAAAACTCCGACTAGGTTTTAGACCTAGGATTAGACTAACATCCCTAGGGTCTATCATCTCTCTTATCTTATCTTCTCTCCACGTTTTTGTCTCAAAGTCGATTAGATTATTTAAGTATAAATTTTGATCTCTTTCTCCACCGATATCCTTTGCCGACCTGCCGGAATGGGATCCAGTTATCGCTCCTTGCCTAGTATTAAAACCCGATCTTAGGTTCTTCTGAATACGTTTTTGTAGGAGTAGTTTCACAGTCATCAAACTTCTCGATACATAAGAAGGGGAGTTTGCCGGTTAAGTATCCAACGGATTAGAATACCGATAATACCGAACTTTAGGACCCGACTTAAAAGGGATTCAAGGTATCGAAGGAGACGCCAAACTTATTTTGCTAAAAGCGCCAAATTGAACTCTTTTAACTCACGGAATCCCAATCCTCCCAAAGATTGGGGAATGCTAATTTTATCCCAAGCCATCCAATCGAGGCCTCGGGTGTTACTCTTGGTACTCCACCAGAATTTGAAAACCATATAAAACTTTATAAACCATCTAGAACTACCTTATAAACCATATAAAACTTTATAATTTTTCATATGTAAACAGTTCGATCCAAATATTTATAAGTTCTTAAAAGGTTTACAAGGTTTATAAGATGTGCATATTTACATGTGTATAATTTATATATATATATATATATATATATATATTTTCACACATATAAAGTTAATTTATGTGTAGTTTTACAAGGTTGCACACATATTTGGATAAATTTCAAAATTTTAGTGGCATTTTTGATAAATTGAGTGTTTGAGAGAGGGAGTAATTTTGAAAAGTGATATTGAAAAAGATCTATTTTTGAAATTATGTATAATCAGTTGTTAATAATTATGCGTTCAAAATAGAAAAATACATAGGGTTGATTGGTTGTTGCTTTGAATTCTTTCGACAACATATTTTGGTCTACAACCTATATCTAAATTCTAAAGCAATTATACTTTATAATCTTTCTATTGTTTTTTTAATTCACAGCAAAATATTTTCTTAATATTTTTCTTGTTGTTGTACAATGTATTTTTTCTTTAAACACATAATTTAAGCTTTCTAAAATTTTAATTTTTACAACCAAAATATTACAACCACAACAAAATCATCTATAGCTTAAAATTTAGAGTTGAAATTCTAAAGGTTCAACCATAACAAATCTGCCCTATAATCTAATAAATTTATAAAGGATATCTAATCTAATAAATCAGCACTAAACTACGTTATGCAAAAACTTATTTCACAAGTATAAGAGATGATGAATATAATATTTATAGGGGAGATTCATCGATTGGTGTTGATGCTCAACATTTTTTCACTAAACTCTTCTTAACTTCTGGTCATCGCGTTTCGCCGATAGATTTTGGTGATTTTCAAGTTACAGTAACTCCTGCTATTAATGAAGATTTGACCAAAGAGTTTAGTCCTGCTGAGATTTATGCTGCTGTTTGTACAATTGGTGATGATAAGGCCCCAAGGTTCTACAAAAGCTGTTGGGACGTAGTTGGTGATGATATTGTGAAAGATGCTAGAGAGTTCTTTGAAACTTCCTTCATGAAACCAAATATTAACCACACAAACATTTGTTTGATCCCAAAAATTGATAATCCAACAACTCTCCCTGATGGATGACAAAAAAAAACAAAAAAAAAAACAACTCTCTCTCTGATTACAGACCCATTGCTTTATGCAATGTTTTGTATAAGATAATTTCTAAATGTCTAGTTTCTTGACTAAAAAGTCATTTAGGGTTGATAGTTTCGGATTCACAAGCTGCTTTTATTCTGGAGCGGTTGATTACAGACAACATTCTTATTGCCCATGAGGTTATGCATTCTCTGAAGGTTAGGAAAAGAGTTTCTCAAAGCTACATGGCGATAAAAACAGATGTTAGTAAAGCTTATGACAAAGTTGAGTGGGTTTGGAAACAACTATGAAACTCTTTGGCTTTTCAGACATTTGGGTAAACTGGATAATGGCTTTGGTTAAATCAGTTAGATATTCTGTTCTAACCAATGGTTCTCCTCAAGGCTATATAGTCCCGGAACGTGGCATCCGTCAGGGGGATCCTCTTTCCCCTTATTTATCCATTTTGTGTGTGGATATTTTAAGTCACCTCATTACTTCTAGAGCGTCAACTAGAGATCTTCGAGGCATTCGTATAGGAAACGGAGTTCCAGCCATTACTCATCTTCAGTTTGTGGACGATTCTTTGTTTTTTTGTCAAGCAAATAGCCAAAACTGTAGAGTTTTAAAAGAAGCTTTTGAAGTTTATGAGTGTTATTCGGGCCAGATGATAAATACAAGTAAATCTTTGATCACTTTTGGTTCTCGTGTTCTTGGGAATCTTCGCAATCAACTAAAAAACTTCTTCAAATCCCTAATCATGGAGGTGGTGGTAAGTATCTGGGTCTTCATGAAGAGTTTGGGAGGAAAAAATCAGAAATATTTAATTACATTTTAGACAAGGTAAAACAGAGAACAAGTAATTGGTATTCTAGAACCTTATCACCTGCTGGCAAAGAGATCATCTTAAAATCAGTGGCCATGGCGATGCCAGTGTATACTATGTCTTCTTTTAAACTTCCTCATGGAATTGTCTACCAGATTGATGCTCTTCTTAGGAAATTTTGGTGGGAAAAAGGAAAATAATAACAGAGGAATTCCATGGATATCTTGGCAAAGTTACAAAAACCAAAAAAAGAAGGAAGCCTTGGGTTTAAAGATCTTACCAAATTTAATGATTCCTTACTTGCAAAAAAGCATGGAGACTTCTAAGATTCCCAGATTCTTTATTTGCTAAAGTTATGAAAACTCGCTACTATAGAGATGATCACATTCTCAACGCAACATCAAAACCTTACCAATTGTTTGGATAGCACTCAATTCTATGTGGTTTGAAAATCATTAAATTAGGTTATCGTGATAACTTAGGAACATGTGACACAATTCGCCTTAATCATGATAATCTGATTCCATCCCATCCTCCAACCCCAGTTCGTAGTATCAGACCAGACCTCTCCTTGCATATTTCAGATCTGATCTCGACCAAGGGAACTTATAAATGTTGGAACAATCAACTTATCACTGATTTGGTGAATCCAGATGATCAATCTCGGCTTATTTATAAATCTCGAATATTTATATCCCTCAAGCTATTTCTTCATATAAGATTATATGGCCATATTCTTCATCAGGAGAATACAATGTCAGATCAGGGTATTGGGTTATCATTCATCATCTAGATAATGCGAAAAATCAAGCTATCATTTCTGATGGTTCAATTCTATTAAAGAATAACATATGGAAACTTCTGATAATGCCAAAACTGAAACATTTTATGTGGCGTCTTCTCTCTCGCGCTCTGGCTACAAATGTTAGACTAACACTAGAGGATTGCAGTTAGATCCTACCTGCCTCCGTTGTGGTATTGAAGTTGAAGATATCCATCATGTCTTCTTTGGTTGCTCTTATGCTAATCTAAATTGGCAGGATTCGAATATCCCTCTACCATCTCTTTACAATTCTCATAAAACTACAGGGGAGCATATCTCTGATATCTTGCTTTTTCAACAAGAGATTGGCATTACGAAGGAAACTAAACTTCTTCCGATTTGGTTATTGTGGTATCTTTGGAAATCGAGGAATGACTTAACCTTTAACCAAATTCAATCTTCCCGTAATAATTTAATTCTTAGAGCTAAAGCTGATGCATCTGAATGGATTGAAGCTACTACATCGAAGCAATCCATGAACATATCTTCAATAGCGAAAAGTTCATCTTCTCTTAATTGGAGTCGACCAAAATTTCCATTTGTTAAGTGTAATGTCGATGCGGCTTTTGATCCTTACACTTCCAGATTTTCGTGTGGCTGGATAATCCGAGATAATGAGGGTAATTCTAAATATTGGGGATCTTCTATACTTCCAAATTCGTCTACTCCTTTAGAAGCTGAGGCAAAGGGCCTTCTTGCGGCAATGCATCAAGTTTAGCTAAAGGGTTACCGTAAAGTTTACTTTGAAAGCGATTGTTATGATCTCATTAATATGCTTAACGGGACACTTCACAATGCCTCAATCACAGGGATAGTTTCAGACATTATACATTGGACAAATTTTTTTACTGAAATTTTCTTTGTATTTGCAAAAAGAACTTGTAATGAAGATGCCCATCAATTAGCTAAATTTGGTTGTTTAGATAGAAATTTCTTTTGTAATGGTGTTTGTCCACCAAGCTTTATTTTTCTTTCGTTGAAAAAAAAAAAAAGAAGGAGATCTATTTAATATATTTATGCAGAAAATTTCATAGTAAAAAAAATTAAAAAAAAATTGAAATGGAAAAATGGAAAGAAATTAGGGGAACTGGGGAAGACTGACTAGAGAGTGGTAGATTTAGCAAAAAAAAAAATCTAAAGAAAATATAGTATATGACTCTTTCAATAGGCATTAAATTGTAAAATTATTAATTATAGTTTGATTTATGGACAACGCTTCTGTAGATAAAACCTTGTGTTTAGGTTTTAACATCACCCAAAATGAGACGCTTCAGAAACCAACCCAACAACGCAAGCAAGAGAAACACAAAACCCTAATCTTTTCCTTCAATGACAACACAGTCCATCAATGGCGACGGAGACACCAACTCCATCTTCTCCACACCTCTCTCTTCTCGTGGTTCAACCAAACTTGACGCCATTTCCGTCGAGGATTACGACCGTGATCGCCACCTTTATCCCCGGCTTCGTTCTTCTTCTCACCGAACCCTAATCAAATCAGAGTTCTCAAAATTCATAGATCTTGACCAATACAGCGACGACGATGACGATATCAAGATCCTCTGTTTCACTCCAGTTGCTATGGAAAAGGGTCAGTCCTCATCGTCTTCCTTGTCCACTAGACGTACCTTTGACTGTGAGATATGTGTTGAACGCAAACCAAAGAGTGAGTCTTTTCGAATCAATGGATGCTCTCACTCTTACTGTAATGATTGTGTCTCAAAGTATATAGCTGCAAAGTTACAAGATAACATCCTCTCAATCAAATGTCCTGTTTCTGGTTGCTCCGGGGTGCTTGAGCCGGATCAATGTCGTTTAATCCTACCGAGAGAGGTCTTTGATAGGTGGGGAGACGCTCTTTGCGAAGCGGTGATAATGGCCGGTTCAACTAGGTTCTACTGTCCGTATAAGGACTGTTCTGCTTTGGTCTTCTTGGATGAGAGTGGAGAGAAGATAAATGAATCAGAATGCCCTCACTGCCATAGAATGGTGTGTGTTAAGTGTGGAACTAAGTGGCATCCGGATATAACATGTGAGGAGTTTCAGAAGTTAGCCGAGAACGAAAGAGGAAGAGATGATATTTTGTTGAAGAAGATGGCTGAAGGTAAGAAGTGGAGAAGATGTCCTTCTTGCAAATTCTACATTGAAAAATCTGAGGGTTGCTTATATATGATGTGCAGGTATCTTTCTTTCTTTGTTCTTGTTTGCACAACACAAAATCTTGAAACAAAACACTTATGTCTTTCAACACTTTTTTTGTAGATGTGGTTTGGCTTTTTGCTACAATTGTGGAACTCCATCCAAAGACCACTCTCATTATTGTTATAATTGTAGGCATTGATCTCTTATGAAGTGAATGATCAACGTGTCTAGCTAGGTTCTTTCATTCGGAGTTACATTTGATGTATTTAGGTTCGTAACTAGTTAGTTATATCCAGTGTTCTAAAAAATGGTTTAGGCGTCTAGTTACCGGCTAGCGTTTTCTTGAACATTGGTTATATCCTAGTGTATTTAAAAGCATACTCTATTGTGTAATCGAATGAGAAGAGAAAATTGTAGTAACTTGTTATGAAGTATTTGAGAACCAAAGTGTTTGTTTAGGTTCTTTCATCGTATTTGAGATCAATTGAGTGATGTGAATTACATTGGCCTACAATTTTTAGTTATTTATATTAATCAGTGGGAATATGTTTCTTGCCCACTTTGCAATTCTTAACTAGTTAGTCATGTCCTAGTGTATGTAATCGAATGAGAGGAGAAAATTGTAGTAACTTGTTCTAAAGTCTTTGAGAACAAAACTGTCCTTGTCTTTGTTCTTATAACATTCCCTTGTCCTAAATTGGGACTTCTCATTGAGCAAGAAGGGAACCATTTGTCTCCTAAGTATTACTTTTATAATATGCTTCCTTTCAAAAATATTTTCAGCACAAATTAATATAATTTTGATACAACACATCTCTTAGCACACTATGTTCTAGTATCAGATTTTTCATGGATGAAGTTTTAATTCCTCTCAGCACTGCTTATAAAATAAAACAAGTTGTCATCAAGCATCATAAAGACCCAACTTAACAGGAGAACCTGAGGCATTGATCCAATCTCCTTGTAAGAATGGCCCAACAGTGTAGTTCAACGCTTCCTCCTTGTTTATGACCTTATATCCAGGCCACTTAACCCTTGAAGCTGTGTCTCCACTTGGTCCTTTGTTCTTGTACTCCGCGTAGTACAATGTGTCTATCGCAAAATCAGTCTCTTGCCATCTCAACCATCCGACCGGGTCAATCACATCCTCGATTGTAGATTCCATTACAATCGTTCGAGAGTAGTTCTTCCACGGTCGACCGAGATAACTCTTGTACTCTGCCATCACTGGCTTAAGGTCTTCATTTGCAGCAATTTTGCAATTGTGGACCACAAAACCAGTTGTCTGAAACTTGTCAACACGTCCTTGAGCGGTCACCGTGTTCTTTTGTCCTGGTAAGCCTTTTCTAATGAAGATGTTACAGTTCTGGAAGATGGCGGCCGCATCCCCGAATATGAAGTCAATTGTTCCAACTATCACACAACTTCTATAGTACTGACGGTGTGTGTAAGCGTACAATGTGTCTTGGTAGCCTTCAAAACGGCAGTTAAGGAAGATAGATCTATCAGATTGGACACGTATCGCGACTGCTTGATGTCCCTCTGGTCCAGCCGTGTTCCGGAAACCCATTGACTGTGCCATGAACCCTTCTCCTTGTGCAACTATTAAAAGGAAAGCAAACATTTAGAAAATAAGCTTTAGTTTTGTTTAACGTTATGTTTGGTAACATTTTTGTTAGTAGTCAAGATTTATACTAGTGTAATATATAAATCTATTGGTGTCTTTCTCGTTTGCATACTTGATTTGGTCTCTAACTTATTGTAAGAGAATTAAGGGTCTTACCGAACGTTGCCGTGAGGAAAGTACGGATTTTCTTTGCGTGGCTTTTGTTTCCGGTCACAATAGTCTTCTGTGATCCATCTCCGACCATAGTAAGGTTCGCCTTCTTCTTATCAACAATCACAGTTTCGTCGTAAACGCCTTGCTTGACATAGATAATGTACCTACGATTTGAATTTGAACAAAAAAGTTAACTTAGTTTCTAAACCTAAACCTAAATCAAAGATAAATTAACGTAATGATCACGTTACGGTAATGGTTTGATATATGTACCTTCCTTCATATTTCTCAGGCATTGCATTTAGAGCATCATTAATGGTTGTGAAATTTCCACTGCCATCTTTAGCTACAGTTGCGTTAGGCTTCAAAGCCTTCACATCAACAGCCCTTAACATTCTTCTATCATCGTTGCTTACCCAAGAGGGGATTTCATCAAGAAGAAGTCGTGATGCGGCCTTGATAACCGGAGAAAGATGTTCGTCAAAGGACTTGATCATCGCGAGGGAATTGCTGGTCAGAACTTGAGAAGAATTGACGCTCTTCTTTACTTCAGATTTTAGTGTTCCTTCTTCAAACCCGTCAAGGCATGTCTCTTGATAAGACATGACTGCGCTTAACCAACTGTCCAAGTCAGGAACTACGTTTGCGAAGCTGCTAACTTCTGTGCTGTTGATTTTCTTCAGCGATGCAACGGTTTCCTCCTTTGCTTCTTCCACAAGCAACTTACATTGTGCAATCGCATCTATATCATCTTGATTCTCAGTCTTGAGGCTCAAGAACTGCTCTAGAACTCTGTCAAGATCTCCATTGATAGCTTCAATAGCAGAGGTCAAGAAGGTCGTTGGATTAGCCAAAGCAAAACCCTTCTCTGTGCTGTTTTTGAGCGTTTTCTCGCATTCTTGCGTGTAAAGCGATGAACTGCAAAGAGTTTCAATGATCTTATCATCCTGAACAGGTTTCAATAATTGCTCTGGGGAAACAGGAGGTTTTTGGCTTGGGCTTGGTGGGCTTTGGCTCTTCTTTTCACCATCCTTAACGTTGTTGCCACTACCGCTTTTGTTATGGTTCTTGGCTTCTTGTTGTTCATTTCTTTTCTCATAAGCAACATAAGCAAAAGCTCCTCCAACAATTGCAGCAACAACCACAAGCAAAGAGACCGATCCAACGATGATTCTCTTCCTGAATTTACGTTTCCTATTGGCGTTTACGCGTTCTTGGATCTTGTCGAAATCCTGAAACGCCATACCGGAATGACTACTATTTTTCTGATATTTTTTTTTTTTGTTTTCTTGGGGAGAGAAAGAAATGAATCTCCTCCTCTGCCTTAGAAGACGGCCAAGGCAGGGGAGGTTAAAAGGAAAACTCAAATCCTTCTTTACGTTTTTATTTTTGGCTCTTTCTTGTCTTCTCTCCCCTGTCTTCTTTGTTCTTTGGTTTCGGTTTTATTTGTTACTCTGTCGTATTTGCAATGTCTACAAATGAACAAATCTGCTCTGGACAGGAGAGTTTTGTGGGCTGATGTCAATTTTTTTTTGCTTTCCTTTTTATAAAAAATTGACAGATCTTTCACTCTTTCTAAATTTGGCAATTCATTTTTTTCCTATTCATATGTATTGCTAGACTAGAGTTGTTGGTCATCAAAATTCATAACGAAGTCAAATGATTTAGTAGCTTAAATGGACGGTTCTTTATGAACCTTTTTAGAGGAGTTAACATACAATATAGACTCACAAAGAGGTGACAAGTGACAACAATGGTGTTAGGTAGAGATGTATGCAAACAAAGTTATAAAGATACAAATTTTAGAGGGAGCAGAGATGCCAATGTATAATCACGTGATCACTATAGCACATACGCACTCATGACTAAACGCAAACATCATTTTGTTTTATTGGAATATTATTTCATATCCCATTTGAAAATGGTTGTCATGGACTCACGGGAATGAGGATGACCTAATTCCACTAATATTTTTTTCGATATCTCCGACAAACTTTGAGTTAATTACTGAAATGGAAATGGTTTCTTTGTGCCGAAATTATTTAAATAATTTATATTTTTGTCGATCTATTGTTGTCATGTTTTATATAGATTAGAAAACTCGGTGAATGGATTACTTGATGGCTAAATGCCCATTGGAATCGGCGATTAGTCCCGATAAAACATGGATTACCTGTGGTTGTCACATAAAGAGAAACAATTAATCACTTATAACTATGCATGTCAATTAAGGATAAAGCCCGCGTGCTAGTTTGTCCCAACCCTGAAAAACATCGGGCTCGAAATTAAATATATATATCCACAAAAACCAGATTTTTTGGGCTAAGCCCATTCAGGCTAAAGGGTTTTTTGGGTTTAACCCGGTCGGGTTCGTACCGGTCCGAAAAGCCTTTAAACAAATATATTTTGATTTTTTAAAATATTTTAGTTTAATTAGAAGATTTGATTAATAAATTAGTTTTCATATTTACTTACTAGCCTTACTTATTACTTTTAAAAAATTTATCTATAATAGTTTCTATTATTTATATATATTAGAGCTGAACAAAGCTAAAACTATATATATATAGAGTATCTTGATTTTGAAATCATCAAAATATATATTAAATTTTGACTCTATCATTTACTTTAAAGTATTTTAGTTCCATGTTTTATTGGGTTAAAGTGTAAATAATTTATTTGGTTTTTCATTTTTTACTCTTAAATTAAGTTCGTTTTATTGAATATTGATAAGTTATTTAAATTTGATGCATTATTTTTATAATAGACCTTTAAATATTGTTTTTGAAAAACTATTATTAACATAGAAATTGATTTTTTTATAGGTAAGTAAAGCCCAAAAAGCCCGAAAAGCCCGAAAAGCCATGTACCCTAACAGGGCCGGGCCGGGTTTTGAAATATAGACTCAGAAATTTTTCGGGCCGGGCCGGGTCGGACTCACATATATGAGGGCTTTACGGGTTTCGGACCGATCAATAGCCTTTCTCCTTCTCTTTTATAAAAAAAAATTACTTTAAATAACAAAAAAAATGAACCAACACACTTCTCTCAAACCATAAAGAGTTTAGTCATCTCACACAAATAAACATGCAAATTAAGAAAAAATATGTTGCACGAATCACAATTGAATATATAGCATGTTATTCAAGATGAATTTACGCGTTAATAACCCCAAAATGGTAAGTCAACGGTTATTAACGCGGAAAGTCTCCATGCGAGCAAGGGCGGAGGTAATGACTAAGCACATGGGTCAATTGATCTTGATACCCTGATAAAATTTCAAAATTAGTTGATTTTTGTTTAAAATTATTAAATTGACTCCTGTTGAATTATAATATTGACCCCTATAATATATTTCTTTAACATTTTGACCCTCATAAATGTAAATTCTAGCTTCCCCACTGCATGCAAGGTGAATTTTTCAAATATTTCTAACTAAAATAAGAAAATAATATTTGGATTGGATATGATGCATCTATATATGTATATAATCCCATCTTTTCTAACTCAAGTTTTTTGTAATGCCAAAAAGATGCCAGAGGCTCTTACCTTGTAAGCAAACTTGTTATCCAAACTTGCATACAACTAAGGAGAAAGAAGTCGCAAATTTATTTCTCTTTTAAGCATTATGGATATATTTAGCAGTAACTTCACCGTATTCATAAAAATAATAAGAATGCGACTGACAGAACACACAACTTGTCAAGTATGTTTTATTATAAAATGTTGGAACTTTCAAAAAGACATGATCGCATGGGTTTCTCCTCCTTATACCACTGGAAACTCATATAAAGCCAAGAAGAGACATGCTTAGACTTTTCAAGAAAGATACATCTTTTGCCAGCTTATACATCTATAACTTTTCTCAGCTTATATAATTCATTACGCAGCTTTAAGAAATAACTCAAACCACATAAATTATTTAGAACTTATTTTATTTTTTTATAATTAGCATTTTATGTGAATACAAACCCCTATACACTTGTAACATTACAATGTTAAATCCCATCATCATAAGGAAACGAAGTACTACCTAACCAACCATCACCGGTAATAAACTCCGTCGCCGTGAAGTTAAACGCATCGTCGTAACCCATAACGTGAAAACCCGGCCAGTTAACCCGTTTACCCGTCTCGGAACCCGGCCCGTTGTTATTATACTCACCATAATAGAGTGTATCAACTCCACCCCCACCGTTCCATTTGCTCCAACCCGAACCATCAATAAACTCATCAATAAAAGATTCCATTATAACCGTTCTTGAAAACTCTCTCCATGGACGTCCTAAATAGCTTTTCACTTTATTTGAGTTGTTATACAAATCATCCGATGCAAGAATGGAGCAGTTCTGCATAGAGATCCCGGTGTCTTCGTCTGGACTGTCCCTTGACTGAGCTGTTACTACAGTGAATTGTCCTGGCATAGGTAACTTTGAAACTATGTTGCACCCTTGGAATACGGCGGCTGCGTTACCAAAGATATAATCAACGGTTCCATAAATATCGCATTCGCGATAGAATTGGCGAAATGAGTGGGTGTAAAGTGTGTCCTGGTAACCATCAATGACACATCTGTATAAGGCCACAAAATCTGCGTTCACTCGTAATGCAACTGCTTGGTGTTTCTCTGGTCCTGCTGAGTTTGTTATCATCATGTCTCTAGCCAAGAACCCTTCACCCGAAACCGCTGTGACCAAAACAAGTTTGAGAAACAATTACAATCTTGATTTAGTACCAAACAGGCTTCTAATTTATTTTGATTGCAATGAAATAGCTCCAAAAATTATACAAAATTACTTATTTAAAATAAAAAAAAAGTTATATTAAATTACTTGCTTTTTGTTTGGTCACCAACTATATAAAATGACTTATCTCTTTAACAATCACATATATTGCATGCATTAAAATTAGGAAAAAAATATAAAATTCTGCAACATTTTAAAAGTTCACAGCTTCTTCTTTTTGTTTTCTTATATCAACTTGTTCACCTTTTATTCTAAAACCGTGATTGTGAGATTTAAAATGTTACTTTTTTGTTTTTCACATAATTATTGAAAACTAAATAATACGGTCCAAGTTGACTAAAATATGCAAAAAACTACGGTCCACTACGCTCCAAACAATATACCAAGTTTTGTTTTCTAGAAACAAGATTTTTAAAAAGATTCAAAGATTATTACCAAGAGTAGCAGATCGGAAAGTGGTCCATCCATCACCGACACTTCGGTTTCCGGTAATAAAAGTAACATCAGATCCATCTCCGATCAGAACAATGTTAGTCTTTTCGCTTGGAATCTCAATGTTCTCTTCATAGACGCCTTCTCTTACATATATAAGCACTCTCTCGTTACTCATATTGGGAGCAAAGCTTATGGCCTCGTTAATGGTCGAAAAGTTTCCTGTTCCATCGGCAGCAACAACGAGGATCTCACTCGGGTCGTACTCATCGTACCCGTCATTAGAATCTTGTAAGAACCGGCGATCTTTATTAGAGACCCAATCAGGAAATAGCCCAAGTAACCGGCGGTTCTTAGTCTCGCCGCGGGTTTTTGAGTTCTTGGCTCTTCTCTGTTTTGGAAGAGCAGAGAGAGAGTTGCTTACGTGTTTGTAAGTGGTCGTGAAGGAGTTTACGAGCTTTGGCTTTAGTGGACCTGAGGCTGATTCAAGACCTTCCAAGCAAGTGTCCTTGTTGGTGAGAGCAGCGCTTAGGTATGCTCTAGCGTCAGCTAGCTTTCTTGAATCTTCAGCACCGTCTTGGATCTTGGAGATTGAACGTTCCAAGAAGGTAGAAGTGATATGGTGAAGATCTTTGCAATCTTGAAGAGAGCCACGTTGGCCCTCGACTAGGTTGTTGGACGTTCCGGGGCCGGAAAGGAGATCGGTGAGTTTTCCGGCCTCGGAAAGAGCTGTTTTAAGGGTTTGAAGGAGGAAAGAGAGAATGTTTGGGCTTATGTTGATGGAGATGGAGAGTTTCAAGGAGTCAAAACATGCATTTGGGTATGGTGTGTTCTTGCAAAAACTTGTAAGAGACGTTTGATTAGGGTTTAAAGAACGCGAAAACGCGGAAGAAGTGAAGAGGAGAAAGAGTAGAAAAGAGAAGTTGAGAGAGGAGAAGAGAGCCATTGGAGAAGAAAGTGTTGAAGCAAATGGTGAAGAGAGGTCTTGTGTTTTTAAATGTGTAGAGAGGAATGGGTTTGCTTCATGTTTTGTTTCGTAAAGCGACAAAACTAAAATATCTATAATTTTGGAATAATATTCATGCACCGAATTAAAGATTCCATCAATAGTCTTCTAACAATTGATTGAAGTATTCAAAGAAAACGATGTGTGTCTTTGCCGTTTGATTTGGGTTTAGATATAATTTGTTCTTACATTGGTTACTATTTTAATAAGATCTATAGTCCGTGACAGAACTGATCATCTCTTTCATGTCATCGGTACTATAAACAAGATCAGAAAAGTTTCAACCGATGGTTTTAACAAGATCCAAACAAAATTTGGAAAACCATTATTATTAACAACACTTTTTGATATCAATGTAAATGATTCGACGAAAAAAGATAACTTTTTTTTTGAAAAGTTGAATACGTTAGGTTAATTTTTTTTTTGAAAATAACAAGACAAGATCTATAAAGAGATATTTGTAAAATACCCTTTCTTGTTGTCTATTTTCAATAATACACCTTTTTCAAAATGACTAAATTATAAACCCAAATTTCCAAATACTAAATCCTAATTAACCCCTTAAAACTATACCAATATAAAATAAACAAAACTATTCTAATATTCTCATCGAGTAATTAAATTTTCATTCTCAAAATTTTAATTTTTTACGAAAATAAAAAATTTATATTAAATGATTTTTTTTTTTTTGAAAACCTATTTTATATTCATTGAAAGATATATTTACAAAACTATTCTAATGTTCATTTGAAAAAGTATTTGGTAACTAGCAAACATAAATAGTTATCCGCTAAATAACAGAAAAATTCAATATAATCTAATATAGCTTCTAAAAATCACTTATCATGCTAAAATAAAATCATTAGCTAACAGAACATAAATTTTTAACAGCAAAATTAATGAAATATTATCAGCTAAATAGAATGATACCCATATAAAATATTCTCTATCAATGTAAAATATAATCATCGAGCAACGCCAGAGGGGTTTGACTGCGATCGTTAAATTGTTATCTACTAAAAAGATTAAAAGACGCTAAATGAAGAGTTGTTACTTTTCATACAGCATAGAGGTTAAACATGAATACAAGAATGACAACTACTTATAGAACAAACTAAATGAAAAATTGAATAGAAGCAAATATGGATGCTGAGAAAGATCTTATCACGCTGAAAAGTTAGCTTCATTCAAAGCCTGAGGTATTTGGTTATGAACATAGATAAATTATTAACAACAACTAAATAAAATGTTATCGGCTAACTAAAATGATACCCATATAAAATATTCTTTATCAACGTAAAATATAATCATGGAGCAATCACCCAAAATATATTCTTTATATTACATAATAATTCATTGATTATCTAATAAATAAGCAGTCACCCAAGACAATATTTCAAGAAATATTTGGGTTATCCGCTAACAACTATATTTGAAATTCAATTAATTTCACTACATGTCAGAGATACTATTCATTAGACGTTGATAACACTGTTCATCCGTGATTGATAGCATTTATTATAGTAAAATATTTTAACATTGTACTAGTTACCTATTTTGATAATATGTTAAATAATCTGTTATCGCGATAATTTACAGATTATACGTTAAATTAATCGTTATTGCTGTAAAAGTAGGAAGCGTTTTAATGGTGTTGAAGCTTGATAGAGTTGCAGAGAGCTGAAACAAATTAAGATCCCAGAGACTTGAGTCGTTGGAGTCATTGCGATTCAAGTCGGTCGAGTTCGTTAGAGAGGTTAGCGTCAAGTCGGTTTGAGGAGGCGTGTATATAATCTCTTCGATTATATTTGTTCATGGGCTTGGAGAGTTGTAAAAAGAGAAAGTTTCTGGGATTTTGGGGTTTCACTTTCTGGGGAAAATTCAACTTTCTTGTTGAGAGAGACGATTGTAATCTGTAAACACTAACTGATATTAGTGAATTTTAGGGTGAGATCTCGGCCAGACATAGAGATCTCGATTATAAAATCAAGTTGCTACTCTATTATAAGTAGCTATATGGATAGAATGGTCCATGAACTTATAAGCTAAATATTGAATTATGGCATCCTAAAACTTAATTTTTTTTTTTATCTAATTTCATAGATTGTAGTTTGCCTTGTTCTTTTGTCGTAGTTTTTTGTTATCAGCTTCTTTCATTAATATAAAAGAATGTGATCCTCATGGAGGATTTTTACAAAGAATTTTGAAATAAAGTAGTAAGATACAAAGCTTGAAACTCCTATTGATATTTAACCATCTTGTCCAAAGTAAGTCCACATCCACAACTTTGTTCTTCAGCCTTCAGCCTTCCAATAATTGATTTCTCTGATTTGATTGTAAAAATTAAATTGTTGTTGTTATACTTTAAAATATCTAACCATAAAGTAAACCTCAATTAATACCTCTTTAATTCTTAAATGAAATAAAATAAACAATATAATTCTAATTTGTTATCGCTGAAAATTGTGACACTCAAAAGAATAATGCCAGTATCATAGTACTTAAATGATAGGAGGTTTTGCTTATATTTTTTTGAGCTTTGGTGGATTCAAATGAGTTCGTATAAGTTATGCGAGTTTTTGTTTGCACATAAATTGTCCAACATAAGTTCTAAGAATATGCATTTTCTACGTACTCAACATTCATTTTGAGTTTCCTTTGAGTGATTCATCTAGAGGGTATCTTACCATGAATAGAATAATAATTATCCAGCTAAGTGAAATGAAGAAAACATATTAAAAAGCATGTAATAATGATGAAAAGATAATATTAGTGTCATACTCAAAAAAATATTTTACTAATGAATTTGCTTTTATATGATAAGATTATATATTAGAGGATGAAGTCAGTAGACTCTTATAACAAATTCCTAAAATTAATTAGAAATATAAATAAATTCAAAAATACTACTTTTCTAATAACATTTTTTTTTTAAATCTCCCTTCTCTAAAATTTTACCAAATATCCCCTAAACTTTTACTATTTATCCAAATATGTTTGCAAACTTATAAAGTATACACAAATTACCGTTCTACATGTGTAAACTTATATATATATACACACATTTTTGTAGTACATTTTTTCCTAAAAATGGTAATATTCCGGATGTTACCAAAAAATAATAATAACCAATAAAATCTTGATTAGGGATATTTCCATATCATTATACTAACTAATTTAAAATTAAATAATTTATAGAACAATACACTTGTGGTGTACAACGGGAAAATCCTAATACCTTTTAAAACCTTGGAAACCTTATAACAAATATTAGTTACTATCCAAAAGTACTTTATAAACTAAATAATTTTCAGAATTTAATAAAGACTATTTTTTATAATAGATAATGGAGGCAACTTTTTTTGAAAAGGGTTATTACAGATTTTGCCATTTTGGCTCACCATTTTTTATTTTTGCCATTTTCCAAATTTCTTTGAGATATGCCATTTTTACAACTTAAAAAATATATATTTGAAATTTATTTTTTCATTAATACATACATAATAACAAATACTATACCCTACAAAAAGATAGAACCAAATCAACCAAAACATAATGTATATATAAAATTGTGTTTTTGTATAAAATAAAATGGTAAATTAATTTTTTTTTATTCAAAATGACAAAATTTGTAAATGCTCCTAAAAAAGGGTGATGCTTGTAATTGATCCTTTTTGAAAAGAGATACACTCGGAAAATGTATTTTTTTTTTAAAATGAAAATAAACGAGCTAATTTTATTTAAATAACAAGATAAGATATGAATATGTTTAGATAATGATAGATTTGATACGTTGAGGTGCATGTGCAACTGTGGTATGTTCTCTTGAAGACTTAATCCAAGTTTAAAAAAAAAAAAACAGCACATAATATGACGGCTAGGGTTTCTGGGGTCGAGAGTCAGGATGCGAGGATGGAGGAGAGTGGGCGTCCTCCGGGGGAGAGTATGCCGTTGCCAACGTATGCGGAGAAGGTTCAAGGGAGTAATGGTGGAGGACGGCCAGTCCCGGAGAGAGTGTTGGCGGAGGAGTTCATTGCTTCACGGATGCGGTTAGAATTCCCAGACGGTGAGGATGGAGAAGGAGTAGTCACGGTTGGGCAGGACGTGATTGCGGCTATGAATGGTTTGTGGAAAAATTGCATGATCGTGAAAGTCTTGGGAAGGCATGTCCCGATAGCGTCGTTGGTGCGTAAACTTCGAGAGATATGGGTGCCAAAGGGTGGGATGCATGTGGTGGATCTACCAAGGCACTTCTTTATTGTGCGATTTGATTTGGAAGAGGATTATTTAAGCGTGGTTACGGGGGGACCGTGGAGATTGTTTGGAAGCTTGTTGATGTTTCAAGCTTGGACGCCGGAGTTTGACCCGATGCAAGATGAGATTGAAACCACGCCAGTTTGGGTGGGGATTTCGAATCTACCGGTGAATCTCTACCACAAAACCATCTTAATAGGGGTTGCGGAAGCCTAGGGAAGCCTTTACGGGTGGACTTGACAACATTACAGTTGGACAGAGCTCGTTTTGCAAGGGTTTGTATTGAGGTTAACCTTAAGAAACCTTTGAAGGGGGTCAGTTGTGGTGAATGGGGAGAGGTACATGGCGTCGTATGAGGGTTTGAGTAACATATGTTCGGCTTGTGGCATTTACGGGCACTTGGTTAGTGCATGTCCTCGACGGTTAGCGGAGAATGTGGCACAGTTGCGGGTACACAATCAAGGGACAAAGTTAAGAAGAGAGGAAACAGACAAGGATGGTTTCACGGCGGTCCGACGTGCAGGACATAAAACACCACCGGCTGTCGTGTTTACGGCGGGTGAATCGGGTAGGAAACAAGAAAGGAATGTTGGGGAGATCTCGCGATCTGCTAGTATCGGGAATGTTTCCATATCGAATAGCTTCAGTGGATTAACTGCGTATTCTATGGAGAATATTACCCTAGAAAGTATGGAAGTTGCGGAAAGTATTAAGGAAAATGTTAATATGGAGAATATTCAGATTGTTGCGAAGAGGTCTGAGAAAGGA